CCCCCTGACCACCCCATGACATCATCGAGTGCAAATTTGTTAAATGAAACATCATTTAAAGCGAGGAGCTAATCAATAAGAATCAGCTGATACCTTGTTTTTAAATTTTGGTTGGTTTATAGCAAAGTTATTGGCAGTTAAGTTTCCTGTACCCCTAACTTTGATGGTCACAATGGAGAAGGGATGTGGTCACAAAGTGGTCCCTGGGGGGCAGTGAGACCCAACTTTTTTCTGTTTACATGCTTTTTTTGTAAAGAGTGGACCGTAAGGTACATGAAAATACCAGAGAAGTTCAGTGGTGGGGTGAAAATGGTGACCCACCTTAATCTACAGAATAAAAATATGAAGATTGTCATATTTTGTTGAGGTAGTGACATTTTTACCCCTGGTGGCATCATCGAGGGCATATTCATTTAATGAAGTGTCATTTAAATTGAAGAGCTAATCAATACATATCTGCTGATACCTTGTTTTTAAAATTTGGTTGGTTTACAGCTAAGTTATTGGTAGTTAAGTTTCCTGTACACCTAACTTTGATGGCTAAAATGAAAAAGGGGTGTGGTCAAAAAGCCATCCCTGGGGGGCAGTGAGACCCAAAATTTTTTCTGTTAACATGCTTTTTTTTGTAAAGAGTGGACCGAAAGGTACATGAAAATATCAGAGAAATTCAGTAGTGGTGTGTGCATGGTGACCCACCATAACCCACAGACTAAAAAGATGAAAATTTTCATTTTCTGTGGGCTTGTGACATTTGGACCCGCTGATGACATCATTCTTTGCATATTTATTTAATGAAATGTCATTTAAATCGAAGAGATAATCAGTAAGAATCTGCTGATATCCTGTTTTTAAATTTTGGCTGGTTTATAGCAAAGTTATTGGCAGTTAAGCTTCCTGTCCCCCTAATTTTGATGGTCACAATGGAAAAGGGGTGTGATCACAAAGTGGTCCCTGGGGGGCAGTGAGACCCAACTTTTTTCTGTTAACATGTTTGTTTGTTTTTTTTTTTTGAAAGAGGGGACCCTAGGGTACATGAATACACCTGAGAAGTTCAGTAGTGGGGTGTACATGGTGACCCACCCTAATCTACAGACTAAAAAGATGAAAATTTTCATCTTCTGTTGGGGTTGTGACCTAGTTACGAAATGTAGGTTGACAAAATTTGGATTTTTTTTTAATCGATTTTGGGACATTTTAAATCGATTCTGCATCTTTGTAAATGAGAATCATGATTCTGATGCACAACAATTTTTTTGGTGCACCCCTAATAATTATATTAGATAAGTCTGGCCATGGCGACTTCTTCTAACACTTTCCTTTATCTTCCTGTTACTAAACTTATCAACTGAGGGTGGAACCAAAAAACCTCTTTAATGACTAACACAGTTTCCGCCCAGAAAGTCAGAAGGAGACGGACCTCCCTTCCATCCACAACATCAGCTATTTTTTCCCTGGAGAAACAACGTTTTGGCTAAGAGATTCGAACCCACGAGCTAACAGG